AAATATAATATATAATCGCTTGTCTGCTGTTAGTTCGTAGGAAAGAATCTGGAAACGCTATTCAATCCAGCTGTGTGCGTGTTCCCGTCATGGAATTTAGTATTAACTGAAAATATACCGGGAAAGGCGGGGTCAAGTTTGGGATATGTGGCATATACCAGAATGAGGTGCTAACTTAGTTGGGGGGGGGCACGCGGCGGCGCGGCAGTCTGCTCGTCTGGCATGTTCGGAAATCCGTGGGCCAGGGGGAGTGTAGCCAGCCTAGGGGGGTGGGGGTGGGGGCAGTCACTTGACATGCGTGAAAAGCTGGAATGTTCGAGTTTACACTGTCTCGCTCGAGAGAGCCCAGGTGAGCAGACTGCCGCGCCGCCGCGTGGCCCCCCCCAACTAAGTTAGCACCCAAGAATTTGTACGTAGCATGTACGAGCTAGGCGAAATTCTAACTGAACGTAGCGTTTGACGTTTACTATAAAAATTCAGGTATTCGTCCAAAGACATTCTAGCGTACAGGGCAAAAATCTGTAAAAAAAAAGGAATGTCTAAGATTGGTAGGCATAGGCTGGAATGACTGGGATACCGCCCACGACAGGAGCCGAGAGGAGCATCCCCTCAGCCGGGTAGACGAGTCCTTCGAAATTGGTAACTGGTCGTTCGTTCGTTCTACTTCAATAGATCCAGAACGAAAAAATAAGCACAGGTTGAACTTTTACAGTTGACGGGACATGCCAGCGAAGCGGACGGAGTTAAATTTAGTAGCAGCGATAAAATAATGATAGTAATAGTAATATGGTTCCGAGAGAGAGGTTTAAAGGCGACGGAAAAAAATATGCCAGTGGTGAAAGGAGTGGATATGATCTTGGCGCCAAGAAGGGAGTTACAATCAAAATACCAGGGAACTAAGATTTCTTTTCATTGAAGTAGTAGGCTACTGCGCTCGCGAAACTGAACTCCAGGTACCTTATGACTGGTCAACAACTATATGAAGGTTTTCTTTGGGTCCCAAAACTCATGCAGATAAGTTTGGATAACAAATGTCCAAACAAGTCTAACTAATTGTCTCAATCATACCGTCAAAGAGATTTGCGAGTATCCGTTTTGGACTTTTTAGGATTACGTCCGTTAATCCGGAAAAAACCCTAAAACGATTAACTAACGTCGCCGTGAGGACGGAAGTGTGTAGTGGCAAGTGTCACGCTCACCACGCAGCGGTCCAGGCATCGAATTCTAGGTCGTGATCGACCGGGTCTACCAAGCCTTCCATCCCTCCGGGGTCGGTTAATTGGCCTCGTAATTATTGTCTTGGAGAGGATAAACACTGAATTTAATATCGGCCTGGCCGCAAGTTTATTGTATAGGCGACACGCATTCAAACGCAAATGTAATGATTAGTGAAATGGAAGAAGAATGCGTTAGCTCCAGAAAGGATTGTCTAGCAAATGTTTATGTTTTATCTTTTTAAAGTCGTGTATATGATTGAAACACATGAAATGAAGGGAGACTTGTGTGTAAAAGTTCCCCCAATGCAAATTGCCACTCTGCATCTAAGCACCCATATACAACTTTAATTCTTCATTCAGAATTTATGAGTGTCGCATACCTCACTCAACTTTTTCCCACTGTTTTTATACTGCACCCACTTTTCATTGATTAACCACATTGACGACAACGCGGGGGATATATATCCCGCGCATTGCAGGCCATGTCGGACCGTGCGGGATATATATCCCCCGCACCCATTACACTCATTTTTTTCGCGCACGCCTGATTCTTTTAGAAGTTTCTTGTATTCATTCCATGGAAGAGACCTTGACGTAGCTACAAACATAGTGGCCCTTAGAATGGTCACGTATACTTTAATTTAGAGGAGGATTTCTGAACCTTACGAAACCGTGCGCCATAGCACTAATCATACTCTGCGCTCCCAAACTCCAGACAGTGTAACCCTTCAGAGAAAATAGGATCTCAACAGGTGAGGGTAGCTACAACATCACGCGCTCAATAGCGGGTCCTATGACGCCCCTGTCTCCCCCAAGTTGAGGATAGAATCAACGGTGGGGGTCGCGTCCCCTGGGAAAAGGATGCCGCTCCGTGGCTCACAAAAGCGCGGCGGTCCCACTCGGCCAAAAAGCCAAAACTCGCGTTGTCAACGTGCTAATCAGGGTCGACGGACTACTTGAACTCGGCCCTTTAAGCCGCCTCAATCGATGCTCTCGTCTGCGCTCTCTCGCCTTATCAGCGGCTGATCACCACTGTGATCTCACACATTCAAACTTTTGCCACACTGTAATTGGCTCCTCGGGTTCCCTCCCCCTACAAGGCTTAGTCCTAGGCTCTCACCTCCTTCCTTGGGATTTGGAGCCGAGCCAGGCGCCGTTCTCTGATTGTCTGTCCTCTCCGCCATTCGTGGCAGGACCATAGAGGAAGATTAAGTAAACCGTAAAGCGCTAATCAGTGTGTCAAGTCTGTAATTCTTCTTCTTCCCCTGGCTCTCTAGAGGCACACTAATTAAACAAACCATCCTTTTTATTTTCGTGTGAATTTGCATGGATAAGGTTTTCGTTGATAATTAGACTGCTAAATGCATACATGAAAAGTTATTCAGCACCGCGAGTTATCCAAGGCGCATATTCAACACCGACTATACGACTGCGTTCCAAACCATTCGTGAAATACAATTTCAAGGCATTTCAAGAGTAACGCACATTTCCATGAAGAGTCGGATCTCCACTCACTAGGCCTGCTTTTTTGAGGGTGACAGAATCGGCGTCGTCCAGCAGTTGTTCGCCGAGTGAAAGCTTCAATGACCTCGGATCACAGCTGCAAAAGTTAACAACTTGGCTTCGATACGATTCACAAGAGAATTCCTAATCTGAATAGCTCGACATACTAGACCCACTCACGAGTTTCCAAGATGTGATGAGATTTTTGAGCGAAGTTCTCCTATTGTTGCATTAGCTTCAATCTCGACTTGGAATACTGTTCCATCCGTCCTATTCTTTATGCTCACCTTCATCTGTGGAAAGGATTACATTGCACGACCTCCAAACTTAAACGTTCTAGAGATAGCTGGATAAAACCGAACTAGTTTTTCAGATTCATACAAGAATCTCAAATTTCATTAAAATCAACAAGATGAAACATATGACAACAAATAACAAACAAATAGCAACACAATCCCATGCTCTCCAAATAATCCAAGTAAAAATCTATCAAAATTGAATTCTGGAGTTTAAACTATCAATTCATTTCTCCTTCTTCGCACCGCCTTTTATCAGTTGACGTGCATCCTTGGCATTATCTGGAGGCGCACTTGCCTCTTTTGTTGCCATGTCGCCTAATGCAGATTCAACTACGCCGTTGCCACCATTTTGACTATTGGACCAATCATTCTTAGCAGTTTCCGCGTGACTCTAGAACGGCAATGAATAAAATCTCGAATCTGATTTCTATGTACAAAACACACATTCGAGATTCTTAATGGCACTTCATCTTCGACAGGTGTCCGGACTTCCCTATAAACGCTCCACACCTTCCGCAACGCTGTCTTCTACATATGAAGTCAACGCGTACAGGTGGATTATGTATACATAAGAAAAGGTGCCTTGCTTGTACTCGAATATTGGGCCCGTCGAAAGTTTGGTAAACTTTTTGTTTCCCATCAATTGCGCTTCCGTACCTCTTCAATGTTTGTCTCTGTTAATTTTAACTCAACCATTGGGTATTGGCCATTGGTAATGTGTAATTTCAAAATGAATTCATATGCAAAGGAAGCAGTTTTTCCATGGGAAGGTCCTTTTTTAAACCCTACAATCCGGAATACGAAATTGAAACTGTTTCTTAGTAGTTCAGTCTCTACGGAAGCAATATTATCGAATGTTTCTAGCGTTATTGGAGTCGAGTAAGCATGAGAAGAATGATCATTCACAAAAAAGTATTCACAAGAAAATTGGTCTCCTCAAATACTTCGCAGTGGTTGGCACGTTCCGTGCTCCCGACATTCCCAACTAAGAGACAACTTTTTCTGGTTTTTTCCTAATCATATGAAAGTCCAAGTGCACACAACATCGGCCGCGACCTGGTGAATATTACGGATGATGTCCCAACAAGAAGCCATTGTTGGGCTTCAATAGCAGGATGGCCCAACTGGCTTCCGCACACTAACGGCTAACATGGACCGAAGGCGAGAGGTAAAACTTTGTCCTCAGCGACGAATGGGATTTCTGTCTCCTAAAATGATGTAAAAATGATGTTGTGGACCCTGTGAAGTGTTTATCAACAGGAAACCTAATTTTAAGTACCAGTCTCCAACAGTCAGAAATAGTGGAAGTATTGTCATGGATGAAGATGTGTCCGACCATTCGGCGATTCCCCAGTTCTATGTATCCAGCGAAATGTGGGTTGGGCTAAGTACAAGTATAGTCTGTAGAATACAATGCTTCCTTGATAGTCAGAACTAGCGGAAAAGATGGGTTTCCCATCGCGGAAAGTGACCCGATGCAGGCCTACCTCCTCACTGCCGCCTTCCTAAACCCAGAAAAAGAAGCTGTTATGAAGCGACCAAGTCAAGATCTAAAGTCTAATTGAGTTCTACATCCCACGGAAGAAGCTGGCATGTCGCTCAACCCACATTCCAGTTAAGAATCCCACCAAACAATGCGATTTAGTTCACAGTGTGCAGGGTTCGACTTAAAAGTCCTAAAATTATTTTATAATCAACTCCATGTCAATAAAAACGACGCTGACATAGAAATTCACAGCTACTCATCGAATAACTAATTTATCATGTAGATTCGAGAGCTATTTTGCCGAATTCGCTTTGGAATTGAGAAGTTTCCAAACTTTTGACGCGCCATTTCTTATAAAAATTCGTATTTTTCAATGCGATTTCAGTTTTCAAAAAATTATGTTGCCATCGTAATCTACACTTGATTCTGAATATAATATGTGAATTTGGGACAATTTCATTGTCTATTGGCTACGCTAGATCAAAAATAAAAAAGTTTCCAAACTTTTGACCGCTACTGTACTGGTGTGCAAAACTTAAGGACGAGATGGATAAATTGTCCTAACTTATTAACAATTAGATGGAATTGGATGAAACTGTACGGGCATAATGCTAGAAGCCCTACAGTCATGGGCACCGAAGTGGGCCTCATATGTCTTGCATCCGGCTTCAATCTGGAGCCAAAAGGGGTGGCCACCCAGAACGAGGGGTTTGGTGGGACAGGACAAGAGGGAGTGTACTAAGCAGGGAGAAGTTACTGTGGAATGTAGTGGTGTTCTTGATTACAGCAAGTCTCAGAGACAACACTAGGGTGACTTCACGCGAGGAAGAATCCCGGGAAACTGGAAGAAGGAAGATTTGTAACGAGTGTGGTCCAGGAGTTTGTGTTGCTCACACCATTGTTTTGTGCGCATAAGGAGCAATATGGACAGCCACTGCTGCCCCTAGAAGAGTAGGTGGTGGATCACGATCAACCGCAACAGCAGGTGATTGCTACGTTTTGCAACAGGCAAGAATGGACCCACGTCAGTCACAGGCTGCAGTTGCAAAAACATTTATCAGGATTGTAAGGCATGTAATCCCAGCCTGAACAGTGGCACAGTGACCGCATAGGGATGGTCTCTCTGACCGACCAACAGTATCTGGTGTTCCTTCGAAACCCGCGCATCGGCGGGAACATTTGCTAGGTGCCGGGACATTGGCGATGGACCACCGATTTGGAGATCGCGTGTTCTTCTCAGTTAAGATCAAATTGAATGTGAGTAGTGATTTTGGACTTACCTGCATATGGGGAAAATAGGAACGTGTAATCTACCCAGGACCATCGTTTAACATGATTGTTTTGGTAGTCCATGCGACATGATGTGGGGAGGCATAAAGTTGTCGGGGCGTACTGATCCCCAACTCGTGATCGCGTTACACTTTCTGATCAACGTGATTGTGGTGTTGTACCCTTCTCTTATGCATCTTTCCAAGGGTGCCTTGACCTCAACTTCAATCGTATGGAGGACAAGGTGCGAGAGCATCGAGCAGCCTAGGTGGAAAACTCTTGGAAAGCGAGGATTTCCGGCGATTGGTGAAGCCTGCCCGCTTCCCAGTCAAATCCTATGGAGCACGTGTGGCGTGCATTCAGGAGAGCTATTGTAGCGCATCCCCATGCGCCAACAACTGTCCAGCAGTTGTCAATCGCGGTCTTCAAGGAATGGATCGCTTCTCCACAAGAACTCTTAACCAACCTTGTGGCCAGTATTGGAGCACGTAGCAGAGCATGCTTTGCAGTCCGTAGTGTTCATACACCCCATCAAGAACCAGCTCCTCTCTTTTGAATGTCTACCATGAGTTGGAGTAGCCTCACCCATCGACCGCTTCAGACAGGGTATTTGAAGAAAAATGTCTTTTCAATCGTCCCGTTGCGCTTTTCTGTTAGTAACTGCACTGTACCGCAACATTAA